CTACCTCAGTAGGATCTGGCGCCTCCAGATCCAAGGTCTTTCGGTGGCCGATGCCCTGATCTTCCTGCGCTCCTTGATCCACGTTCTCCACTTCCAGTACTTGTTGGATCCGCGCTTGGGTAGCCTCCTTCATCATCGGAACAAAGTCGTTTCTCGCAATTCGTACAGAACCGGTAGCCTTCGATAAATCGGCTATAATAGTTCAGACTTCCCAAAAATGACTACAAAGCTCTGAGTGATCCTGGAAATGCCTGATCAGTCAATGTAGACAGATCTTTCGGATTCGCATCCAGTCCATTGTGAGAGACCCTATGCCCGAGATATTCCACCTTAGGCATTCCCCCAGAAACTCTTAACCACACTGATTGACAAATTCCACTCATCACACGCTTCGAGTAAACCTTCGACTCGATCACATAGTTGATCCCTGTTGTTGGCGGGGATCAGGATGTCATCGATATATGATCTGCGACCAAGCACTGATGGCTTGCCTGGATCCACCGGTTCCCCATCCTCAAACACATCCAGAGTACTTCCGTGATCTTCAGACTTCGGGATCCGGGTGAATCCATATAGCGCGTTGTCGATCATACGTTGATAGATCTGGGGCGCCTTCTTCAAACCAAAAGGGATTCGATTCCATTCAAATAACCCAAAGGTGGTGATAAAAGCCGAGATCAATCGAGCACGATCCGTCATTTTCACCACCCAATATCCACTCGCCATATCCAAAGAGCAGTACCAAAGTGTCGACTCCAGATCTTCGAGTAGGTCGTTGATCAAGAGCATTGGATAGACCATCAGCTGAGTTAGACTATTAACCAACCAATAATTGATGCATAGCCTGATATCCACTCCATTCTTCTTGATGATTAGCACGATCGGGTAAGCCCACGGTGATCTAGAGTAGTTGATCATCTTGACCGACAATAGACCCTCGATCAAGTCCGCCAGCTTCTCCCTAAACTGGATCCGCAACTTACGACATTTGAGGGCGATAGGTCTCGCTCCCCCAACATCGATATCGCACACCACTCCTCTAGCCGCCGGCGGAAGGGCATTTCCCTTACCGATCAAGAGATGTCGGAACTTCCAGATCCGTTGGCGAAGTCGATCAATTTCTTCTGGGATCTGGTTACCATATCCACATAGCTGAATGTCCTCGATCTTCACATCTTCCGTCGTCACAGGCCCTTCCGGCAGTACCGCCGTCTGACCGTCGACGTCTTCTGTGTATAGATCACTTCCTTCATGGTAGTATACACATTCATCATCCCAGGTGAGGTCCAGATCCGATGTGCCTGGTTCATCTTCAACAAGAGGTGATGGATCCATGTCCGTTTTTT